CGGCTGCACAGCGGGAGCTGGTGTAGTGGCTCCTCTCTGGGGCTGGAAGGTGAGCAGCGGCCAGAGGCGACCACATGTGAGGTCCCCTGTGGTTCTAGTCACTGTCTGGACCCCGTGGTGGCCTCTGGACAACTTCGCTATGGGGGCTGCATCTGGGCAAGGCGTTTGGAGCAAGGCCTGTGTGTAGAAACATCCTTAGAAGGATGCCAAACTCGGGGAACCTTAGTTTCTCCTTGTTCTTTACAAGTTCGGCTCTTCCCATTTAACATTTAGGGGTAAGATCCATTTGGAGTTGATTTTGTGGAGGCTGTGAAAGGCATCTCATGTGTAGAGTAGGACTCCAATCTTAAACTGGGATGTAGAAGAATAGAATTGATGATGGAAAGGATTTGCCAATGCTTAGAACATAGTAAGAGAAAACAAAGTAGAATTTAGCTGAGGGAGGACGTCTCTGAAATGTCCCCACAGAGAACTCGTATGCTGACCAGGCCTCTTAGGGATTAGGATACTTGTTCACCAGAAGTGTCCAGAAATTTGGCTCCAAACTCTGACAAAGGAGACACCTCTTATGTACAACCAGCTGCTAGGTCCATCCTCACACCAACAAACAAACAAAACAAACAACAACAACAAACCCAGCGTCTGACCAGCTGCTCAGGGGGGCATTACAGGGTCACAAGCAACACTAAGGCCCGGTGTGACATAAAGGTCCACTTTTCTTCTTGAGAAAAGCAGAGCTTTGCCACACGGACAAGACTTCCCAGGTGACAACTCTTTGAAAAGGAAAAACACTGTGTTTTTTTTGTGTTGAGTGGCTGGCCTGATGGAGGAAGGCTTTCTATGAGGCCCTCATGCATGGAGAATGACATAGGTCCTTTCCAGACCCAGGAACATGCTTGGTAAAGCTAGTAATGGCCTGGGTCCTCAGCCTTGGGAGCTGCCCCTAAGGCCCCTATGTATTGGGTAGGGAATTGAGCTCCTTTTCTGAAGGAAGGGATGCTGTTTGGGAGAGCTAGTAATGGTCTACTTTATAGACCAGGCTGGCCAAAAAGTCACAATGATCCACCTGCCTCAGCCTTCCTGAGAGTGCTGGGATTACATGTGTGCTCCCCTCTGCCCGGTTTATATTTATCTTTTTAAAATGTCATTGTTGATACTACTTATCAGATTTTTCCTTTACGCATCATTGCTCTAATCTCTTATTTGTCTCTCTTTTCCTATGTTTCTCAGTCATTAAAAATTTCATTCCTTTTTCTCAGGGGCTTTCATATTTGTTTCTGTTTAGCGCAATGTCTCCTGCAGCTCAGACTTTCTTTATGCTGTGTGGTTAAGACGTGCTTTGTACATTTAATCCTGCCTGTGCTTCCTAGTGCCTAGAAGACAGCTGTGCAACTCCTTTCATGTTGGGCCTTCACAAGTTAGTGAGAAAGAAAAGACAGCAGTGAATGAGTATCTTCCAACCTTTCTGGATTTGGGTGGGGAAATTACAAATAAAGAGGGAACTATGTAAGAACTGAGTTCACTGACCAGCTTTGAAGCTGCTGTAGCCACAACACAGAAAAAGAGGGCGAGGAAGAAAGGTGAGAGCTTTCTTCCTTTGACAGCATTTGACAAGAGCAATGAGGAGTCAGATAGTCAATTTTAGATGATGGGTAAAAGTCCAAACTGGCCATTTATTGGGGGGATAGGTCAATGGGTGACAGACCAAGGCAAGCAAGAATCTGGATTATATTAAAAAATAAAAATTTAATTAAAAAAATAAAAACAAGCAAATAAACAAAAGAATCTGAATGAGGAACTGAACTCATTTCCAGAACCAAATTTCTGTCATTACACTAGCTTAACCAATGAAGATCTAGACAAACTAACATTTCACAATATGACAGAAATGATGTAATGGTTGGTTTGCTCTAGTACTTATGTTATGTCCCTGAAGCATATTGAAGCATAAAGCCTGCTCCAACTTTAAAAGAAAAAAATGTTTGAGATTATAATTAAATCATTTCAACCTTCTTGTTTTTCCCTACTATTAAGGCTCATATCCTGGGGAAAACGGCCAGTGTGCCTGTTAAACAAATCAAAGCATACCTGCCTGTCGGGTTCTCTCAGCATCCCTCAGTCCCCACCTGTTGCAGGGTAATGGTTGGCATACACTGTCCTCTAGCCCAGGTATTGGACTGCCCTTCTCCCACCTGCCCTTCCTTATGTAACCCAACCATTTTGGTTACCTGGTCTTTTTCATCTATCATTTACCCTCCTGGCCTCTTGGTCTGGCTCTCCCCTCCTCCCTGTCTTCACACAGCTCGTCCATTATGGACTCTCCAGATGTCCCTGTGTCAGGCTATGCTCTCTCTTTCACCTGTAATAAAACTTTCCTTCCTTCCTTTCTTTCTTCCCACCTCTTTCTCTTCCTCTCTTCTTTCTTTACTTTGTTCCTTCCTTTCTTCCTTCCTTCTTTCCTTTCTTCTTTTTGTCTTTCTTTCTTTCTCTCTCCCTCCTTCCCTCTTTGTCTCTGTTTTTCTATCTTTCTTTTCCATTTACCTCCACTTTCTGAGAATTCTCTAGAACATGGGGCCTTTCTGTTTGGAAAAGACTTCAGTAGTCACTTTGGGTTACTTTTGTTAGGGTCATGAAGTCAGTGTTTTTTTAATTTCTAAATACAAAGAATCAAAAGTAACATTGGTCAAGTTCACATTTTTCATGGTGAAGTTTCCTTATGTAATTTGATGAAAACTTGAATATATATATTTAGGCTTACATCTGTGGCTTTTTTTTCTGGCCATAACTCATTCTTTCACAAATACTGAACACATTCTTGATTGTTGTAAATTTTTGGTCAAAGCAGAAGTTACATTGAGCCAATGTGTACTCTTTCTTCATAAACCTATTGAGAATTTTGAGTTTTCTCACATGGCATATTGCTTTGGAATCATCTTTTTTGTTATAAATTGTTAGGAATTTTCCTTTGATTATGAATTTATGATGAAAATTGAACAAAGACATTATCCTTTTGTTTTTGTTTTTGGAAAATACATCTTTTTAAAAATTAATTTATTGTTTTTGTTTTTATTTAGTATTTTATTTCTTTTTTCTTTTTTTAATATTAATGACAGTTTATTCACTTTGTATCCAGCTGCAACCCCATTCCTTGTCCCCCTCCCAATCCCCCTACCATCTCTCATCTCCCATGCCCCTCTCCAAGTCCACTGACAGGGGAGGTCCTCCTCCCCATCCATCTGACCCTAGCCTATAGGTCTCATCAGGAATAGCTGCATTGTCTTCATTTGTGACCTGGTAAGGCTGCTCCCCTCTCAGGAGGAGGTAATCAAAGAGACAGCCCGAGTTCATGTCAGAGACAGTCCCTGTTGCCCTTAAAAGGGAACCTACTTGGAGACCGAGCTACCATGGGCTACATCCGAGCAGAGGTTCCAAACAGAGGTTCTAGGTTAGATCAATGAATGGTCCATGGTTAGAGTATCAATCTCAGAAAAGACCCCTGTGCCCAGATTCCTTGGTTCTGTTGCTCTCCTTGTGGAGCTCCTGTCCCCTCCAGGTCTTTCTATCACCCCCTTGTTTCCTAAGATTCCCTGTACTTTGCGCAGTGTTTGGCTATGAGCCTCAGTATCTCCTTTGATACACTGCTGGGTAGAGTCTTTCAGAGGCCCTCTGTGGTATGCTTTTGTCCTGTTTCCTGTTTTCTCACTCTTGCGATGTCCTTCCAGTTTGCTGTTCTGAGTGAGGATTGATCATCTTACCTATGGTCCTATTTCTTGCTTAGCTTCTTTAGGTGTACAGATTTTAGTATGTTTATCCTATATTACCTGTCTAATATCCAGTTATAAATGAGTATATACCATGTGTGTCTTTCTGGTTCTGGGATACCTCATTCAGGGTGATCTTTTCTATGATTACCTTGTTTTTACTTGCTGAGTAGTATTCCATTGTGTAAATGTACCACAGTTTCTGTATCCATTCCTCAGCTGAGGTACATCTGGGTTGTTTTAAGATTTTTGCTATTATGAATGAAGCTGCTATGAACATGGTTGAACAAGTGTCCTTTTTGTATACTTGAGCATATTTTGAATATATGCCTAGGAGTGGTATAGCTGGATCTTGAGGAAACACTATTACTAATTGTCCGAGAAAGCGCCAGATTGATTTCCAAAGTAGTTGCACAAATTTACATTCCCACCAGCAATGGAGGATGGTTCCCCTTACACCACATCCTCTCCAGCATGTGTTGTCTCTTGAGTTGTTGATCTTAGCCATTCTGATGGGTGTAAGGTGAAATGTCAGGGTCATTTTGATTTGCATTTCCCTGATCACTAAGGATGTTGAGCATTTCTTTAAGTGTTTCTCTGCCATTTGAAATTCCTCTATTGAGAATTCTCTGTTTAGCTCTGTTTCCCCATTTTTTAAATTGGATTACTTGTTTTGATGCTGTTTAACTTCTTGAGTTCTTTATATATTCTGGATATCAGCCCTCTGTCAGATATAGGGTTGGTGAAGATCCTTTCCCAATGTGTAGGTGGTCGTTTTGTTCTGATGACAGTGTCCTTTGCTTTACAGAAGCTTTTCAGTTTCATAAGGTACCATTTACTGATTGTTGACCTTAGAGCCTGTGCTGCTGGTTTTCTGTTCAGGAAGTTGTCTCCTGTGTCAATGAGTTCAAGGCTCTTCCCCACTTTTTCTCCTAAAAAGTTTAGTGTGTCTGTTTTTATGTTGAGGTCTTTGATCCACTTGGACTTTAGTTTTGTGCAGGGTGATAAATATGGATGTATTTGCACTTTTCTGCATGTAGACATCCAGTTGGACCAGCACCATTTGTTGAAGATGCTGTGTTTTTTTTCCATTGTATGGTTCTGTCTCCTTTGTCAAAATCAAGTATCCGTAGGTGTGTTGTTTATTTCTGGGTTTTCTGTCTGATTCCTTTGATCCACCATTTTCTTTCTATGCTAGTACCATGCAGTTTTTATTACTATTGCTCTGTAGTACAGCTTGAGATCAGGGATGGGGATACCTCCAGATTATCCATTTAATCTGTTTATC